CGGGCGCGGGGCGCGGGGCTCGGGAGAGCGCTTCAGAAAGTTTCCTCCGGTCCCCATGGCAACCTGGCGGCGCTGCGCCGGGGGTCAGGGCCCGGCTGCGGGAAACGGGGCTCGGCGCGCCTCCGCGGACCGCTTGGAAACGGGTAACACGGGCGCGCGACGCCGCTCCCTGACCCGTGCGCGGCCCGTGTCTTCGCTCCTCTCCCCTCCGAGCGCGGTTAGGACGCCTCCGACCCCAAACTGCACTTTAGGAAACGGGCTGCCGGTGTGAGGGTTGGTGGCGTCTTGCTGCATCTTGCCTTGTTTCCCTGCAGCCGGTCCCCTCGTCGGAAGTGGCGATCCCTACGGCATCACTTCTCAGCGCCCCTTCATCTCTCCGCGTGCACCGCGAGCGTGAGCTTTCAGCGAGGGTCAGGGCCGTCGAACCGTGGCTTTTATACAAACTCCCTCCGGGCCGGGCCGGGGCACAGCAGTTTCTTTGCAACAATGACGCGTGATGGGCACAAGGTGCGCTGGGACCCAGGAAACCGCTCCTCCACACCCAAACGTTTCATTTCCCCACCGAAACAACCCCGGGTGGAAGCCAACCAGGTTGCCTCAGTGGGAACTAAAAACCCGACAGAGACGGACGCCCAAGCCTGCTGGGAATTTTTACTTCAGTGCAGCTTTTATCTGATTCACCGGTGAAAGAAATATTTTTAAAAGATAGAAGCTTTCCCATAATTGTTCGAGGTATCTTACTCCACTGTGGAGAAGTGCAATTAAAACCGAAGAACCCGGCCCTCAGTTTCCAAGTCGTGCCCTGGAAAGGGTACCACCTGCCTGACAGGAGGTCTTGGAGTCCCCTAGAGGACTCAGCAGCTTACAGCCTGAACTGCGGGACGCGCTGTTGCTGTTTGTTTTCTAGCCTTTCGTTCTCCATCTTGACTTTTTCCTGTTTCTCTTGGGCTAGTTTCATTACCTCCTACCTCGGGAGGGAAATATTCTCAAGCTTCCTTCCTTTCATCATTCAGGAAGCGCTTGACAGCCCACCCTTCCTCTGGCCCCGCCCCCCTCTGGGGTTTGACACCTTACTCAGAATGAATTGTTCGTGAATCTAGTATTTTCCTCATTCCCTGGTGGCTGCCTGACTTATCCTACCTCCGAGGCAGAGTAGGAACTAATTAAATATTTGTTGACTGTCCCTTGACTTCCTGCACCTGATACCTATGAGGTTGGGGCACACCCAACTCCCATCTGCTTCACTGCCCAAGTCTCTCCTCGCCTTCTGACCCGACCAACTTCCAGTTCCATGACCAGGAGCCTTTCCCCACCAGTTGTCCCTGTTCTGGTCTAGACGTGTCTTAGTTTTTGAATTGAGCAGTCATCTTCCCATCTCAAAGAAAGAAGGCCTTGTTGGTTTTGGCTCTCGAGTTTTGTGCTGTTTTGATGGTTTGTTTAAGGACGGACATCTCTCCATGTACTCTCAGGGCTACCGCAGCCTCCCGTTACAAGCCATGGAATGGCTTATTCTTATTTATTGGCAAAGCTTTCTCCATTTATTTGGTGTCCTTTTCTTATTTGCCCAAATAACATTACTCACGATTAAGAAGTTGAATGGGCATGCTTTGCTAAATTATTATTAAAATGTTTCTAGGTAGTACCTGAATTCATTGCTGTTGGGTGATGTTAAAAAAAAATAAGTCAGTGTAGCAAGAAAATCAAAATGACAGTGGCTAAAGGCTTGCACGATATCTTACATATTAAATTAAATCCAATATCTAAATTTCACCAATTTAAATCTTGGGAAATGGGTATTTAAAATATTAATAGGCCACAATTTTCAATATAAGGCTGAGTATTATTTCAGCTAGTACTTACACATGGCGTTTTCTGTGTCAAATAAAACCTGGTTCCTGATCAGTAAGTGACAAAGTTAAAAAAAAAAAAATAGTGGGAATCTTCTCCAATCCCATCTTCAATGAACTCTCCCTTACTCCTAATTGTGCTCCTAAACTTAGCTGTGTCCCATATGCAAGTCTGTGACCTCCAATGGTTAATACATGTAAGCCACTCATACAAGAGCACCCAAAAATTATTTAATTTCCACAAAGGATTATTCTAATCAAACATCTGGAGCTCACTCATGTGTGTCCAGGATCTCCCATGTGAGGTTAATGTGTCTTACTCTTTCTGTATTTAAGCTGTCCCTCCTCCACCCATGAGACTGCCCAGGCTAAAGTCACCAAGGACCTCCTCATTGCCAAACATGGTGGACTCCTTTTGGGACCTGCATCTCTTGAGATGCACTTGATCACCATTTCCTTGACGCTCCCTCCTCCTCTCATCAGCTGAATACCTCTGAAATGGATGAGCTGGGTGGCTCTCATCAACTCCTCCACAAAGCCCACACTGATGTCAGATTTAGTCCACCGTTTGTATTCCCCTTTGACCCTGGTCCAGAATCTCACATCCCAGCTAATGGCACTACCACCCATTTAGTCATCTCTGGCAGAGCCTAGGGAAGAGTCTTAATTCTGCTGGCCTCATCACGCGTTTGTCCTGCCTCAGCATGTCTACGGTCCAAAGTTCTCTGCACAATGGCCACAACAGCCAGCCACATGTCACATCCTCTTCAGTTGCTCAAAATGCAGCCGCCCCCCCCCCCCCCATCCCGGTTTCAGTAAATCTTCCCATCCCTCTGAAATCCCAGCAAGGCAAAAGAGTTTTTCCTCCATCCCTCTAGCTGTAATCCTAAACACCTACCCTGACTGGCAGGCCTGTCCTTGCCCATCCATTGCCTTCAGTAAAAGGTCCAAAATGCTCCCCTCACCTGTTTTTCTGATTTTCTCCCCTGCTCATCTGTTCTACATGCTTCAGCCAGTCCTTCTGCAATCTGATAACTTTTCAAATATTAACTTCCATATTTCTCCCTGTACTTCCCTCTTTACAAGAACTCAGGGTTAGTCTTGGGGAAGTGTGCTAGGGAGGTGAGAAGCAGAAGCTGTCTGCAAGACGTTTCCTTCCTGCCTTTTATTTCCCAAATTCTAAAATCACAAAAGAACCCAAGTCAAGAGGGAGAAACATGTGTCTTTCAAAAAGTCCTGAAAGAGACAGCTTTCTCTGGAGTTAGGAGGCAGAAGATCTTACATCCTCCTGCTTGGCAGCTTGGAGGGCAGGGTGGGGTGGGGTGGGGAATGAAACTTTAGAAAAGCAGCTTTGCTGATCCCAGCTTTGGTATTCCCTGGATGGAATGATAGCCTGGATTTCCTGTGCCATCAGTATATGCCCAGCTCTTTCTGTAATTATATTCAACAGAGATAGGAGTGACTCAGGTAGGTCAGCTCCCACAGCTTGTAACTTTTGATGCTGAAAGTTGTCCTCAGGACCCCATGACTCTGAAAGCTGTTTTGGGAAAGATATACTTTATTTTTTTTTAATTGGCTCACAATAGTGTAAATTTTTAGGTGACATATCGTGACATTTCAATACATTTGTAAGAAGTGTAATTAAATCAAGAAAGCTGGCTTATCACTAAGATGTTTAGTTTCCTTAGGAATGTTTAGGAACATTCATAATCTTGTCTGTGAGTAATTTTAAACATGATGACAACCGTAGTCATCCTTCTGTGTCTTAGAAGTTTTGGCTAAAAGTTTTGGCTTTGCAGACGCTGCTGTCCCCTTGCTGCAGCCATGGTCAACCCCACACATGTTCTTCCACATCTTGGTGATGGCGAGCCCTTGACCCATGTCTCCTTCGAGCTGTTTGCAGACAAAGTTCCAAACAGAGCAGAGAATGTTTGTGCTCTGAGCACTGGAGAGAAAGGATTTGGATAAAAGGGTTCCTCCTTTCATAGAATTACTCCAGGATTCATGTGCCAGGGTGGTGACTTCCCAGGCCATAGTGGCACTGGCGGCAGATCCATCTACGGGGAGAAATCTGAGGATGAGAACTTCATCCTGAAGCATACAGGCCCTGGCATCTTGTCCATGACAAATGCTGGGCCGGAAACAAATGGTTCCCAGGTTTTATTCACACTGACAAGACCGAGCAGCTGGATGGCAAGCATGTGGTCTTTGGGAAGGTGAAAGAAGGTATTAGCATCCTGAAAGCCATAGAGCACTTTGGGTCCAGGAATGGCAAGACCAGCAAGAAGATCTCCATTTCCAACTGTGGACAACTCTTAACTCTTCTGACTTGTGGGCGTTTCACCCACCACAATCATTCCATCTGTAGCTCAGGAGAGCACCCCCCAATCCATCTGCTCACAGTGCCCTGTAATCTTCACTCTCACTGAAGTTCTTCGGGTTCCATATTTTCCTCATTCCCCTCCAAGTCTAGCTGAATTGCAAAGTTTATGATTATGAATAAAAAGTAAATAAGAAAAAAAATTAGTTTTTACTTTCCACCCCTGTCCCTGTTAGCTCTCCTTTCTCCATTCCCGTCTCCCAGGTTCTATAACCACTATGTCTCCGTACTCTCCAGTCCTAAAGAGAGCAGAACTGGCTTTCAGGAATAAGTGAGAACATTTCCCAACCTGTATTTCAGTCACCAGTTCCCATTCCCCTCTCTCAGGGGCTTCTACTGTATTCCCCCAACCAGTGACTCTTTTTTCCCCTTAGGCTCATAGTTGACCTTGTAGAGGTAATTCCTCTTCCTTGGTGCATAGCAGGCATCAATACACACCAGAGGAACAATAAAGAATGACTTTCTTTCTAAGAATATTCTTGTCTAGCTGTCCAGACCACCTCTCCCTCTAAAAGCAAAAATGCAAGGTTGTTGCATGGCTCCTACGACCCCAATCTTCCAGGGGTGTCAAGAGAATGAAGAAACGACAAACGGAACTGTGGGATTGAATGATCTGGGCTCTCAGTGGGAGAAATGGCAGCATTCAGGAAGTCCAGCATGTTTATTACATGCAGTTGAACACAGAGGCAGAGTTATTGCATACAGCTGAACAAAGAGGGGAGGTTATTACGGATAAACAAGGAGGCGGAGGCTCTGGTCTCAGCCAGATACAGGAGACAGGTTCTCATCTTGGAAGAAGCAGACTCTGTTGGAAAGCAGTCTTCTGGCCCTGGACATCTCAGGCCAGATGCTTACGGTGCCCTGTCAACATCTGCACACAAACCAAAAGGGAAGGCTTTGCCCTTTGCCTGGGTCCGAGGTTAGGGTCCTTTACGGCTGACCCCATAACAACAGCACACACGCAGGACTTCCCGCGCTCAGGACTTCCTCCACTCCCTACAGAAGGTGGAATGTTTCAAACATGTTCTAGAACAGTCTACAAGTTGGCAAGAAACTAAAAAGTAGCAGCAAGACAGGATGGAAGCCAGAAGCCACGGGGAGCAGACAGTCCCAGTTGGCCTGAATGTGAACATTGCTTTCTGCAGCCCCAAGTGTCTTAAAGGGCAGAAGGAAAAGATGCCATATACTTAACAGAAGACCAATAAAAGTAGACCCAGAAGCGGAATAAAAGAATGAGGGAAATACCAGTTTTTCATACACCTGCTCCAGGACCTCACTAAAGTTTACACATGTAAGCCACCAAGCAGGTCTAGAAGCATTTTGAAAAATTGGAATCATAATAACTAGAGTCTCTGACCATAAAGCAACTGAGGCAAGATTTAATTTCTGGAAAGTAACTAGCCTGGTGCAAGATCATAATTCTTCGGAGGGAGAGGCAGGAGGCCAGCTTGGGTATAGAGTGAAACCTTATCTCAAATAATAACAAAAATTCTGTTAAAATTAAGTAAATAAAGATAACTAGAAAAATTGATTAACTAGGAAAGTTGTGGTCAAGGAACAAAGCTTGTGGAATGAAATAACATTGCAATGGTATGCATCAGATATTTGATACTATGTATCAAAGCTTTGGAAGAAAAAAACTGAACATATAATGAGAATCAGTAAGAGAAACCTTTTGAAATGTAAACAGCCTAAATTTTAGAAAAAGAGCAGCAAGATAAGGTCAACTAGAAGAAAGTAATAAAAGTAAAATATTAAAATTGGAAACAAACACACAGCAGAAAGAACACTGCCCAAGTTTGTTTAGCTAAAAGTCATAAATGTATAAACTTTGTGGAAAACAATGAAGAATAAAAGGAACACACCAATGTGAATAACATAAAAATTATAACCACACACAATCTAAAAATCACAAAGAGAAACTTGTGGAGTTTTTTTTCATGCTAATTAATTTGAAAACTGAACAAGAAAGTCGGGACAGAGTCTTAATCATGCAAGAACTTTTATCAGTAGATAGTTTCTGGAAGGAAAAATTCAGGCTGAAACTGTTTTGCAAAGGCTTTTGGTCAAACACTGGACCAGGAAGAAATTCCAACCTCATCCAAGCTATCCAAAGTGTAGGATACAGGGCTTCTTTTTCAGTTCCACTTCATGGACCTAGTGTACTGTTAGACCAAAATCTGACCAGAAGAGCATGAGAAAGGAAAACAAAACAAAGAAAAAACCCCAGTCCAATCTCACTCAAAAACATATATGCAAAAACCCTGAATGAAATTTTAGCAGTTTCCACCTGGAAAGATAAGACATCATAACCAAACTGAAGACCACAAGTCTGGCTACAATGAGAAAG